TAAAGCTCCAGCAGACTCGAAAAGTGGATTTAGTACGGACACGCACCACAAATTGTGCAGAAATCTTGATTTTGGTATGTAATTTGGATCCACTTTTTTAGAGGGCGTTAATGCACGAAGGTATTTTAGCGTTATCAGCTAAATGCGGCATGTCCGCTCTCGGATTCTCTCTTGCTTTTACACAAATTGTGCAGAAAACTAGATTTTGCTATGTAATTTGGACCACTTCATGTCCTCTCTCGGATCCTCTGGTTTTTTATACATGATACGTATGATCACAGAAAAAAACCTTTTAGAACATATGGTACGATAATCGACGCTGTCACGTTTCGATTGGCCGGGATTCTGGATGCAGTAGCAGATCGCGCCAATCGTCTTTGCGCACACCTCCAATTACGTGTTTATGTAATTTTAACCTCATATGTATCTTTTCTTTCGTACCGCTCGCGCGAAGCAGGGTGGTCGGCGAACTCGGGGGTATAGGTCTAATTAATGGAAATATTTCGTTAATACATTGACAAAATGGAGGCACTTGTGAATTTTTGGGAGAGACATATTCTCGAAACGATTTTAATCATGATATGGCTGTTGAGCTTTTGGCATTATTATTTGAACTTCCGCCAGGTGAGTCTGCCTTTCTAACCTTTAATCGAGTTTTTTTTTATTTTATCATTACGAAAAAGTGCTATGTAATTCTTAAAGTTAGCAAGATTTAATTATTATTTATGTCATTATTTATGTTTAGATCTCTATAGATTTACACATTTTTATTTCATTTGTATCACATTTATTTTTATTTTTATATTCACTTTTATGGAGGAGATTAATTTAGGAAAACGTAAAAGAATGAATTGATGTGATCAATATTTATGACTTATGTGTATTACAAATGTTACAGAGGACATTACTGAAATGTCTGAGTGATTTACCAAAGTCGGTCGAGGGTTTAATGAGCAAGGAGACATACGACAAGGCTCGTGCGTATTCATTACACAAGAATACCTTCAATACTGTGCAGGATGGATATTCTAAAATTTATAATACTGTGAGTGTCACGAACGCTTCTACGAATTGTATATATATTGTCGATTAAAGTAGAAAAAAATCTTTTGGATTCACATTCATGAATTTTATATTTTTTTAGTTAATCCTGATAACTTATGGATATTACTACTTTTGGCAATGGAGCATCGATATAGCAAAGTACTTTGGTATCAATCATGAGAGTGAAATGCTAATAAGCGCGATATGTGTGTTGATTATAGGTACAGTCACTCATATATCCAGTCTGCCGATAATGATATATGACACTTTTGTATTGGAACAGAAGCATGGCTTTAACAAACAAGTAAGATTCTCCATGTAACATTTTTTGCAATTTATGTATATATATATATATATATATATATATATATATATACATAAATTGCAAAACTTTATTGTATGGTTATTTGATTACTGAACATAAGATTCGATCCAAAGAGATGTGCTAATTAATATTAATACTTATTTGTAGACAGCTCTATTTTTTATTAAGGACGAAATTAAGAAGTTCCTTGTGACTCAAATTATCACTTTACCTCTTCTTTGTGGCATGATCTGGATTGTGCAAAACGGTGGCGATTATTTCTTCTGGTACTTGTGGATGTTATCTGTGGTAGTCACTTTATTCATGATGATGCTGTATCCGGAAGTAATCGCGCCATTATTCGACAAATATTCACCATTGCCTGAGGGCGAATTAAAGCAAAAGATCGAAGAATTGGCGGCTTCCTTGAAGTTTCCCTTGTACAAGCTATTTGTGGTCGAAGGCTCCAAGAGATCGTCGCACAGCAATGCCTATCTATATGGTTTTTACAAGAACAAGAGGATAGTTCTTTATGATACACTCATCAAGGGTTATTGCAAGAAAGACGAAAATGATGCTGAGAAAGAGCAACAGGGTTGTGAAACAAATGAAATATTGGCGGTGCTCGCTCATGAACTGGGTCATTGGAAACATAGTCATACTATAAAAGGACTTCTGCTGAGTCAGGTATAACTTTGAAGTTGATTTATATTTTATGTATTGTGTTATTTCGAAGTTGACTTTGTAGTATCAATATTTTAATATTTTTTAAAATTGGCATTACAATTATTGTAATATAATAAGTGAAATATAAAGTTTATATTTCAAGTTCAATAATTAATAAAATTATATATACATATATATATATTTAATAAAAATTAAAAATGTTATATGACTTGAAAAATTCTTCAGATTTGTCATTGTATTTTTAATAATAAATGTATATATATATATATATACATTTTTTTTCAGATAATACTTGTAGCCAATTTCATTATGTTTGCCAAACTCTTGCGGTACACGCCAATGTATGTCGCTTTTGGCTTTGTGGATACTCAGCCCATTCTTATTGGCCTATTTATAGTAACAATGTACATTTTAATACCCGTGAATACGGTAAGTATCCATTAAATTTTTCTATGATTTTCATATTAAACAAGAGATTATGATCTTGATATTAAACACAAATTCTTATATTATTTTCAGGTCTTCAATTTTATTTCCGTGGTGATCAGCCGAAGATTTGAATTTCAAGCAGATCATTTTGCCACGAAATTAGGCCACGGCGAGCATTTGAAGAGTTCTCTGTTAAAATTACAGAAGGACAATTTGGGATTTCCTTTATATGATAAATTGTACTCCTCTTGGTATCATTCACATCCGCCTACCCTCGAACGATTGGAAGCGATAGATAAAAGTAAATAAGGGACGAATTTTTCATTCTACGCGATTTCCATAACTTTGCAGACGTAAAAGATGAAGCCTGGAGCTTACCCATACACAGGCATTAGTTGTTGTTTACGTTAATTTTATACGTCCTGTATTTTTTCTTTTTATTTTAATTATTCTATTATCCAGTTGAGGATAGTAGAATAATTAAAATAAAAACGGGATCTAAACATAGGTTCAAGATAATTATGCTTCCTGTTTATTGTCATAATGTCAATGCGATTCTGTTCGTATTACAACATCCGTCTTTTATAATTCACTCCAGTTAGATAAGAACTTTTAATAGAGTTTTACTATCGTTCAACGTTTTTATATAAAAGATATATATAATATATATTAATATATTCCAGCATTTAATATTTACATATGCATTTTTCCAGTATCGTTAATCTCGTGAGCAATGATCACGATATTTTGTAAGATATTTTCTCTATGCTTGTAGGGATTTATCTCACATTTGGATATTTCGAGCATATTTTATTTTTCGAGGATATAGTGATTAATTACGTCTTGTATATACGTTTTAGAATTTATGCTTTACTATTCAATATACCGTTATTTATCATTCCTAGATACAGATTCTAAATGCCTCTAAGTAAAAGTTCAACTAACTTTAGGATAAACGCGAAATGTAGGTCGATATTTAACGTTGTTTTTACAATACTGGGAATTTGTAAAAATATGTCTGTCACGTCCAGTGAATAATTCACATATCCATCTTCGTGTTAATAGCCATATATCTTTTATGACCGCAAAACAAACGTGCGTTGAGAATACACTTGAAAATTTTCTGATTCTTCACAATATGACAATGTCAAGGAAGATAATGTATCTGTCTCTTCTAGTGTGAGCACTTTTACTATTCAATATTATATATACAAATTATATATAAGTAATCCAATATATCCAATTGTATATGCACCTTATACATAAGTGTTCAATTTAATTATCTACATGTGAACGAGCGAATGATAAAGGCTGCATTAATAATATTATACAAACATTTTTTTTCTCATTCTTACATTTAGCCTTAAATGACTGAAGATAAAAATAAAGAAAGATGTGGATACGTGTGTGTACATTCATTTTTTGCAATATTTGTGTTAGTTATAAAAATAAAAACTTAAGGGTTCTCCTAATAAACTTGCAGTATACATCGCAACTAGCCTGCTTACAAATGTATGTTAGTTTACTTATGTAATATGTATATATATATATATTCAATACATTTATGAGCTCGAGATGCTGTGACTTCGTTATGTTATTTCTGATTTTCCATCAGAGGGTACTACCGAAAAGTAATCTGTATTGCATATAACAGGCTACAGATTCAATATTTTTTGTAAAAGCGTTTTTTCACCAGAAACATGCCATTTAATCGCGACACGAATCTACTTTATTACTCTATCGCAGTAAATTAAAATAAATGGCAAATTTAGAATTAAAGTGACTTAATTAAACGACTAAAAGCTTCTATGTTGTATATCAATTTGTGAAGGAAAATAAATGTCGAAATAACTGAATGCATTTTTCATTCGTAACTTAAGATGCATTCCGTATATATTTTGCGTGGTTGTGATCTGTATCCAAATGCCTCATAATTTGAAGCAATCGGTCAAGCAATCGTAAAGTATAAAAGCTTGAAGATGTTTGCGCATATGTATTAATTTCCCTTATTAATTTTCTGCGCAATTATCATTTTATAAAAGTTGCAATCTACCAATACTTACCTACTACAGAATGCAGTTTCATATTACCTGTATATAACGTTATATTATACGGTTCCGCAAAAAAGCACAAATGAATATTTAATATTATAATTTTACAACATCAAGCCTTCCTAATCAAATTCTTTTTACTAAAGAGTACTTTGTTTCTTGTTTTTTTATCCTGTTTCATATACTTATTTTCTATGAATACTCTCGTATTCATTTAAATAATATTAAAATTGGTTAATATTTTGTAAATCACAACAATACAGTAGGACATTGAATATTAATAAAGTAAGTAATTAAAATTATTCTCTAACTTATTCTTATGGCAAAACGTGATCTTACTATTATTTTATGATCATAATCAATTCATCAATTATTCATCCATGATTTAATTCGTTAAGTAAAAAAATCGTGAATAAATGAAACATTGTTTAAACTACTAATTCAAGCGATTATTAATTAGCTCATATTTATGTTCGAATTAATTACTTACTAAATCAAATTAAAATAATTACATCAGAGCCTAAAAATTGGAAGACATAGAAGATTACTTTTTATGAATTTTGTTAATGGTGGCAAAAAATTGTCCTTTTGTTTATTAATTTTGTAATTCACGGATTTTTACGTATATAAATTTAACAAATAATTTTATACGTAGTTGAATAATAGATAACATTTTTGGAAACGTACAACATGCACATAGCGCATTATCGAATATTTATGAGTAATTTCACATTTTCATTGAAATAAAAAAAAAATTCAAAATATTTGAAAAAATAAAATAATCTTATAAAAAAGAAAATATTTTACATATAGAATACATGTGAAAAAAAAACAATTTTTTTCACATGTATGTGGAAAATACACATTACATATTGTAATGCAACTAGAAAAGGATGATTCCTCGTGCAAAAACAAGTGTATAAACATATGAAATAAAATCTTTTCATACATATCGTTTCTAAGAAAAAAAAAATTAATTTATATATACAATATTACAAATATTATTAAAAAATAAAAGTATACGTAATAATTGTTTATTATCTTAAACAGATATGAGTAAGAATAAAAAGATCAATTAGTCAAACTAAAAAAATGATATAATATTGCAAAAACATTCTTCTCATTGTATATATTTTTTTCTTTCTATTATATATGTATACATGAAAATAAAATGATATAACAGCATTAATTAATAGTAATTTAATTTAATAATCTTGTTAATTCGATTATTTTTAAATAGATTACTGTTAGCTAATACTGTTCATATATTTTTCTGTGAGTGTATACATACATGTAAATATATATGTGTGTGTATACATATATATACATATATACACCATATATATAATTAATATTTATAATTTATGTATATATGTATAATTAAAAAAATAAAATAAAAACTTTAAAAAATTAAAATGTTATGTCCTGCGAATGTTGGAGTTTTAAAGGTAAGCACATTATATACACGAGGAAACATAATTTAACATGCTTCAAAAGGTTCCACATTATAGTCAGATTATAAATTTATAATCTCATTCTAATATACGTATAAAATCCTAGAATGCAGTGCCGCGCACCACTCCAGGTTTGCTCTCGTTTTAAAAATTTCTTTTTAATTTATATCCATGAAACTTATGATTGCGATGTATCTTCAATATGTTATGTGAATTGAAAGCAAATTGCAACTATATATTAAATAATAATATTCAGCTTGTGCTCCTAATGATTCTTCATTTGTATGTGTTATTCATACTCATTTCGAAAATCATTTATGATATTCGAACTGCAGCAGTAGTTATAATGAAATTAATCGAAAAAAAAAATAAAAAAAACAAATATAAGTGATATGGATATAAACAAATATCAGCAGATTGTTATCTGTATAGTACATTTTACAGAATTTCTATGCATATAAAATCTCATATTTTTATATGCGTTATAATGTATGCATCAGGATATTAGAGTTGAAATTTGTCAACGAAATGATAGACATTACGTGCGTGTCACGCGGAAAATTACGATAAGTACTAGCCTTCTACTAGTAAAAAGAAAGAATATTTTGTCAATTTATATTTATGTTCATATTAAGTATACGCTCTTAAATACAGTTGCTGTTTTTGTTCATGGATTCACATATATGAATATATGATCGTAAAACGAAACTTATAGTAAAGTAAGCTCAAAGCAAAGAAATAGGCGTACATGCGTTCTAACGTGAAAATATCAAACATTATTACGCGTCGAAATAATGCTATCGTATCCTATTTTAACGGCTCGTTAGAAAGTCTACCACGATTATCTCTTAACAATCCAATTTTTATTTTATCATTAAAGGCGCGAAGTGAACGTCTAATATTAACGTTTTTTTTTTTTTTTTTCAGAATCAAAGAGTTCGATTCAGTTGACGAGTCCAAACAAGTGGAACACGATCGGACATTTCAACTTTGGAAGTCGTTCTCCCTTAATACCACATCTCTTAGCCGTAAGCAATTATTCTAATCGTTAAAGATACACAATAATAATTAAATTGTTAGTATATTGTATCGACGAGTTTTCATCCTGGAGTGGTGGCGGCCAAGCGGTGGCTCTCTTAAGATCATCTTAGTGTCACATTTCTTGACTAACGGTATGTGAAAGTAATTGGGAACAATACCTTGCACTTGTCACTCAGTTTGAGCGCAAGCACGTGTCTTCCATCGCTGCGCCGTGCAATACATGCGTATGTGAACACAGGAACCAAGTTGTCTGTACGTGTATGTGTAATGTGTGTGTCTAAATGTGTATGTTAAATGGAAGCGCGTGTACGCGTGGGATGCGTCGTACTTTTGCAATCATTCTCGCTCTTGTATTCAAACGGATTATCTCAAATCCTCTCCTCATGCAGAATAAAATGAAACTGTGCCGTGAGTTAAAGTACGGGGGTCATATCTGAATTATTCGATTGTGTAGAATCCAAGGGAAGAATAATTAATTAATTTCACGGAACCGACGAAAAAAGATCAACGAACGGGAACGAAAAGAGAAAAACGGATATTATTCGGAATTGTGTTATGTACATGTCTCTGTAGATGCCTAGAAATATAATTCGTATATTATACACGTGTAGACTTAAGTCTGTCGTTTCCATTTTGTCGTGATCGGGAGCTACGCGTCGTATCGGAATAACAAGGCCATGTTTTCTTTTGTTATCAAAGACGTTATATATAAAATATTTATTCCTTTTCTTTCTTTGATTGAGCAATGGCAAATCTGCACATTTATATTCATTCATTTGTTCTGCTACGAAAATATAAAAGTATGTACAATTCAATAAATTAATCCTCAAAAGGAGCATGAGGTACGATACTATCGCTGTACAATACCCGATAAGATACGATTCGAAATTAACTACAGGAAAATTCTTAACAAAACTACAAAAAGATTGACTGGAGATTGGTATCTCGTATAGATGGCAATGATGGAATTCTTTTAAACGTGCCTATATATACGTTTATATATATACACATATGCATATGTGTATATATTGATATAAAATTCTACACGACCGTTGCGATCTAACGTAAAAAATAAAGAGAAGTAAAGCAAAGATTACGAAAGAATTTCGATTAAGAAGTGAATCTCTGTATATACCTCTACACGGATAAAACAGGTCCTGTGTTCACTCTATCACAGCAATTATCTAAGCAGCAGATTTCAGTTGGGAAGAAATCTTGATTAAGACTTACACGAGAGTCAACAATTGAATATTTTGACGACTAAAAGATACTCAAAACAACTCACTGGACCCAACGGCTCCCCCACCACTCCAGAGTGCGATAATTCTGAGTCTGTAAAATCGAATTTTTTTTCACTTTTTTCTCTCTCTCTCCCTCTCTTTCTCTCACTCTCTCGTTCTCTCCCTCTCTCTCGCGCGCACGCTCTCTCTCTCTCTCTCTCGCTCTCACTGTAGCACTCTATGTACATCGTATCGATTTAAACGATATTTTACACGAATCTGCCTGAAGATTCTTTATACTTTACTTTGGTAATTTTCCCAATATCGATCTTTTCTTTCCTTTCCTTCCTCGATGTTTATAACGAATCCGCTTGCTGTTCCACTGATTGCTCACTATGATTCTCACTGACGTGCCCTATTTGTTCGATCGATTGTACCACATTTTGTTGCGCTGAATCTTCAGCTGGAATGGGTGCTTCGTATTCACACTGTTCCTCTTCATCCCGCTGCTTTAGCGCTAAATCGTTGCTGGAGAAATGATCCGCACCAATTTCGAAGGTATTGGCCTGACCCTTGTCAATTGTATAGCTAATCTCATCCTTATCGTTCGGTATACTCGTAAACTCATCTTCTCTGTCACCGTGCATCACATCCTGCTCGTGCATCGCCGAGTCATCTTGTTCCTTTTGCATCAGAAGACCCTGTTGATCGACAGCCACAGCTGAAACGTCAAAGCCATCCTTCGCCTCCAATTCCGCGCCGTCCGATGTCTCCGCCTTATTTTCAGCTTCTTCCGACGGCATCTCGTCCACGTCGTCCGTCAGCGGTGGACTAACGTTACCCCACCTGGACTTTCGGTTTCGGTTGCGGTTCTCCCGCTCGGACACGTTTTTAAAGTCCTGATGCTTCGCTGATTTCGGCTTGTCCCGCGGGAGATGATTCTCGCGTTGCCCGTGTCCTTCGGGTTCCTGGCCGGACCACGACGCGGGCGGCGGTCCGCTACCCTCCTGATTTCTCCACGGTCCGTCCGGTCCGTGTATCGCTGGCGGGCCCATCGGGCCAAACGGTGGTCGGATGTGCGGTCCCGGGCGACCGCGCATATCGTCGAACGGCGGTCGGAAGAAAGTGTCCGTTTCTCTGGGATCGAACGGCGGACCTCGAGGTGCGAACGGCGGCCTCATCCCGGGCCTCATACCTCTCGGACCCATGCCACGTAGATGGAACATCAGCGGACCTACAAAAGACACGGCAAAGTGACACACGCACGAAGCAAGAACATATAAATCACATTCGCTGGAATTAATAAAATAGATAATCTTCGTTTGCTTCCCCCATCGTATTACATATTTTTTAATACGTAAATCGCAGAGAAGAAAAATTAAATAAACAAATTAATTATCAAGAAACACGGATAGTCAATATAATTATTGTTATTATATATAAATATATAACATTAGTTTGTAAAAAATGTATAACTGCAGTTTTGTCATGCAGTACATGCATACGTAAACATATATCGTATATATTTTATATAAGAGATATAAAGTTTCTGTTGGAATAATATTATGTTATTATTCATTTCTTTCTTCTTTCTTTTTTCTTGATTAAGGCCAAATTCAATACATTTGATTTATTATGACGCTTTTACTATTTCTTCTTTTTAACGTTCTTAATAATTTAAGAATATTTTCTAAATCAGAAATTTTAGTATCTCTGTATCCAAATGAATATGATACATTAGAAAAAGATTAAAAATAGATAATAAATTTGAGCTGATTTGTAAATTTAATGTGACTCCGATTGCCCATGATATAAAATCCTAATATTAATATTGCTTATATTCTGTGAAAATAGAGATATAAAAAAATTTTATTAAACATAATTCTATAAAAATTATTTGGGATGTTGCATGACTCTGTGTGAGAACGGTAGTTTAATTGGCAGAACTCGGGCTTTATCCTTCATCCTACATACGGATTTTAAATTGGGTATATATGTTCAGCAGACAAAACAGATCGGTAAACGCTCAGTAATTTTTTAATATCATCTGTTTTTGCCTCTAACTCTTTGCTGGATCTGAGTAAATAAACAAAGAATCACTAAACGCTTACTGTCTGCTTAACGCGCCCATTCCCATTCATAATCTGCGTGTGAAGCGATATCCTAAATCTCCCCCCCCCCCTTCCCAAGTTCGGGGTTGTATACGTGGCTAGCAACCATATCATGTAAAACAATTATTATTCATAGAAATGTTCTCACGAAGAGAAAGCCAGATTGAATCTTTAAAACCATTGAAAATCTATCCATTCCAGGGTTATAGAGTTAATATTAATTGATTAAAATATTAACTGTTAAGAATTATCTCAGTTTACAAGAAATATGGCCTTAAATTAAACGCGCTTAATACCATCCCAATATAAATGTGTAGCATTCTCTAACACAAAATACATGCCAAATAGTCACAAAGAAGATAATAGGAAATTCGTGTCTTACCGGGTCCCCTGGCTCCGCGCGGTCCAAATCCATCAACCGGTCCTCGCGGTCCCTTTGGCCCCATTAAAGGCGGCATTCCGAACACAGGCTCCATCGGACCACCGAAGAACTCTCTCCTGCGAAGATCGAAGTCGGTGCGCTCGTTGTGTCCCCTGAGATCGAAGCCGTCCTGCATACGTGGGTCAAATCCATCGCGTCTCATCTCGTACTCGAAACGCTCACGTTCGTACTCGTCCACGGGCGGTCTGCGAGCACGCACTTCCGGTCGCTCGAACTCGTCGCGGGCCGGGCCTAGTCTACCCGGCGGAAAGTCATCGGGCCGCGGCCCGTTGTGGCCTAGCCTGCCCTCGTACTCCTCCGGGAATATACCGGGTTGCATCCTGGGATCCAGGAAGTCGTCCATCTGCGAAGCCCTCGGCCCACCGCGCGGCGGAAAGTTCTGTCGATCAGGCCGATCGGACAGGCCGCGCTGCGGAAATTCGCGCGCGTCTGGCGGCCCGCTCCGGAAATCCGGTCCCCGCGGGAAGTCTGTTCGGTCCGGAGGCAGCACTCCGGCGAACTTGGGTAGGTCCATCAGTGAGATCGGCATGTCGCCGGGTGGCCGTCGTCCTCCCGCGCCTCCGGGACTCTCCTCGAAGCTCCTGTCATTCCGCTCGCTGCTACGCTCGGCTCGGTTGCTACGCATGTTCCTGTCCATTCGATCGTCCAGCGGTAACGTACCGTCCGCCAATTGCCGCAGTCGTTCGGCTAAACTGGGCTTGCTCTCCTTCTTCATGCTCTCGCCTTCCTGAATGTTTTGATTTTGCACACTCGATCCTCCATCCGAGTGTCTGGCGCTGCTCTCCCGGCTCTCCCGGGTCTCACGGCTGTCCCTGTCGCGTCTCTCGTCCCTCTCTCTGTCACGACCGTCGCGACCGTCTCTCCGTCTATCTCGTCCGCGATCCCGTCCCCTTCCTCTGTCCCTGCCACGATCCATCCTGCACTCGTTGATATCCATGCGATCTCCGCGATCTCGATCACTTCGGTCCCTCCTTTCCCTGTTCTCCCGATCACGTTCCCGTTCCTTGTACTCGCGAGACTGATCGTTCTCCAGACGGCAGTCGTTCACACTGCCGCTTATATTCATCGCCGCGATCAACTGATCACTGAGGTTCGGCTTGTCCTTGGGCAAGTTACTGCTCAAACTTTGCGGCATCGCGTCCTCCATTTCCACGTCCATATCGTCCGAGTGGTGCTGCTGCTGAGGTAGTTGCATCTGCATGGGTGGTGCAGGGCCGACTCCGTACGGTTGCCGCAACATCGGCAAGTTCGGCATACTCGTCTCCGTCGTAGGCGGTGGTACTCCAATCGGTGGGACGTTGTGCGGCATACCTGTAATATTCAGGATCTCGTATCCTGTTTGGCTGCGATTAGCCAACTTTGCTGGGACGCTAAGAGTTATTAAGTATCATCACGGGTTCAATTATAAAATTAGATCTGAGAATACATAACTGTATTCTCTCATAACTGTATATTAGATAATGCTGTTAATTCTATTCTCTTTTTTATGTGTATATAAGTATCTTCAAAGATCAAGTATCACAGCCAAAATAGAAAAATGTTCGATTATTTTATTTAATTAAAATTAATATAAATGTTATATACATATATATATATTTAACGTTTACATTAATTTTACATATCTGACTGAAATTTCATTTTTTTCAGTTCGTTCCTACATTTTTTTTGTTTACTAATTTATACAAAGTATTACATTTTTGTTTAAATTTAATTAAAAAAAAAAACAATGAATAAAAATGCAATCTTAGCATTGCTTCCATATTGATATAATACTTCGTACTAGTTTTAAAAAATAATCCAATATCTGTTTTATCTTCTTTTATTATTAATTTTATATTTTATACTTTTTTAAATATAATTTTGTTTTGGAATTTATTTTCTTTTGTATAATTTTATATTTGTTAAAGAATTGTACATACCAGTGGAGTTTGGCTTATCCGAAGGCGCTGCAGGGGCGGGCAGTGGAATTTGCGTCAGTAAACTTACGCCAACACCTGCTCCAAATGGCGGGTTTACTGAGGATGTCAACATAGTCTGCATCATGCCGGGTGGTCCCAGCAGACTCTGCATGTTAGGTGGTGGCACCCCGATCGGAACATTCGGCATTAGTCCATGCGTCATTTGTAGGCCCATGTGGCTAATCATTCCTGTAAGATTTGTGACATTTAAAAACTGTAAGGTATCTTGTTAAGAAACCATAGTCTCTCTCATTTTATTGCGCATTTGTATCCTCGTAAATTAGATATTTTATGTTTTTAAAATTCTTATCTCAATGTGTAGCATCATAAAGTTTCGTAAAACATTCGTAAAACAATTAATTTTCTTAATAAAGCAGATACAATTTGTATAAAGAAAGCAAAATAAAATAAAGAATGACTTGTATACAGAAAAACCTAAACCTAAACCAAGGATAATAATTCAAACTAATTCAAATTATATATAGTACTGTGAGTAATTATGTATTAGATATTATGTATGGACATCTGCATTTGCAAAATCTGATTTGAATATTCGTCAGAAGAGGATTGAATTTAAGAAACGATAAATACTATAAACTTACGTGGTACTCCAGGCATCGTAAATGCTGGTGGCATCATTTGTAACTGCGTATTTGGGGGAGGCAGTAACGCAGCCGATGTTGGTGGTCTAATTGGTGGCGGTTGACTAGTGTCGACTAATTGTTGCTGCTGCTGCTGCTGTTGCTGCGAATTAGCCGACGACTGTATGACATTAACGATACCGTCTGTCAAAGTGGGTATAGGAGCACCAGCGTTTGCGGCGGCAACCATTGCTTGCTGTTGCAGATGCAATTGTTGTTGTAGAACATCCGCGCTTGTGCCAGTGTGTTTCAGTTTTCCTGTGGCAAAGAAAGAAAAAAAAATGTATTTTAAAATTTATAATTATGACACATAGTAATAATATATGTTATAAATATATCTAACTTTTCAGCAAAATATCGCGTCAATTAATTTAATAATAAAAAATTGATATTATTTTCATCAAAATAAAATTGTTCAGAGTTGAATACAATCTGATTCACAGTTAGATTTCAGAAAGATAATATGACTCCGATTTTAATTTCGCAAGTCGGTTCAAGTTACATATCACTTTAATTTGTATATGTGACTAAATTGAAACTTGCCTTTTAAAAAACTCTTCTCAATGCTATCTCCAATTAACAGGAGAAATTGTAATTGTAAGCAAACGGTAAATAGATTTCATGAATATAAAATATTTAATTTATGAAACTCTCTAGGCGATAACATAAGGTCGTAAGGTTTCGTATAAAGAGCAATCGACTCGGCAGATCTCTTTTAAGTCCCACTCTCATGCTACATTTGTCTCAGTTTATAAAAGATTTATTTCTGGGGGAGTTGAAGATTGCGAATGAAAGAATTAAGATGATTGTAATCGGCATTTCGGGAACCATAAAACTGATACATATTTTATTAAAACTACCCTTTCAATTACCTACTTCCTATGTACATATCAATTCACTCTCTATACAAATTGAAGAAATATACCTTTCAAATGGGGAGGTAATGTGTCTTCGTCTATCATCCCTCCTTCTTCCAGTAACTCCAATTCTTGATCGGTAATGTTGATTAATTTATTCCAAGGGATGTAACTGACGCCCAGCTCTACTTCCCAGTAGTCCTTCCATTCCTTGCCTTTCACTCCTTTGCCAGGCGCCCATGCTAACTGTATAATTAAAATAGAAATACATCGCACATATTAAAGTGTCTCAATTTTACTTGGTTAACATATAAGATATATAGTAAATAAATATTATTATTTACCGTAATAGCTTTGCCTTGCATTTTTTGATTTTTCAATTTTGTTAGCGCTCGATATGCATCCTGCCTTCTGTTCATACATATAAAAGCACAACCTCTCGGTGAGATTAAATCAATGCTAACAATATCACCAAGCTCTCCAAACGTGTCCGACAATTCTTCCTGATGCACGAGTTTCGACAAATGTCCTACCCAAAGTGTTGTGCTGCAAACTGCAAAAGCGTGCGTTTAATTTTTCCTATTTATAGAAAATGAGGGAAAACTCCTTATCTTTAGAATACGTACCACTTAATTTATCTCTAACTATTGGTGGCAAACCGCGTTTGCGTCGCTCCCTATCCCTCTCCCGCTCTTCCTCCGTCATTTTTTCTCGGCTATCATCACGTTTTCTATCACGACCCCTATCTCTTGAACGAGATCTAAGAAAGAGAAAACATATATGTATACAATATAAAATTGACAGCAAAAATAGAAATCAATTGTTTATGATTGATGATTTTTATAAGTGATTTTTATTTTTGTATTTAATTAATATTTTTCCAATTCCAGTAATAAAGACTAAATTTTTGACTTAATGCTAATTGCAGCCTAATTACCTTCTCCGTCTCGATCTGCTTCTAGACCGAGATTTTCTGTCTCTATCTCGATCTCTATCTCTGTCTCTGTGCCGTGGAGATCGGGATCGACTGTGATGTCGATATCGTTCTGGCGATCTACTTTGGGAGCTCGTGTTTTCGCAGTTTACGATTTCCACACTGCTGCTGTCACGTCTGATATTGTTTCTAAAAAGAAAAGAATGATCATTAGAAAAGATAAAGCTATGAGACGATTCTATTAGTCAAATTATGGTATACTTACCCAGGATAATCCTGCGTTTCTTGACGCTCATCAAGCAACGGACTCTTTTGATTTTGATGCGCGGACTGATTCATCTGTCGAATATTCGATAAAGATTGCGAGGTGTACGACAGAGCTGGCGGATAACCAGGCGGCGGCTGACTCATATCCTGCATCACGTTGCTGTTCATATTAGACGCATAATTTTGTGTGCTTGGCTTCAAGATATCCGAAGGTTTCAACTCGCATTCAGATGCAAATGGAAGGTTCTAAAAAAGAAGCAAAATTCCATAAACAACAATGAAATATAAGGTGATATATATTTAAAAAAAAAAAAAAATTTTAAAAATTATCCAAATAATACTCACAGGAACAGTTTGTGCTAAATGCTTATCAAATTCTTCCTCCTGCTGCTTCATTTGTTGCAGCTTGCGCATCTTTTCTTCCATTTCAAGCTGTGACGAGGATGCATTGCTTTGCATGGTTTGTTGTAGAGTTTGCAGTTGCCTCAGAACCTTTAAATGGAATAGATACATGACACCATGTAGAACGATTACATTACATCTAGTATTGTTATTAACGTTCGGTATTCGACGAGCACCTCTGGATTTGCGAGCAACAGTCCAAGGCTTTCTAAACTGCTGTTCGTCGAAACGGTGTTGTGCTGGGTGTTGGCCGAGGCAGATGCGTTGGGAGAATTGGTAACAACGACGTCGTCATCCTCTTCCTCGCCGTAATCAAAATCCAACAACTTTTTATCAAACTTGACGGAACTCTTCGGTTCATTCGTAACGTCTTTCTTCATAAGTAGTTGCTGTAAATGTTGTAACTGGTCGAAGAAGGAGGAATCCATCGGACCGGAATTGGACTGATTCTGTAGAGAAAAAAAAATAAAATCGAATGAATGTTCAGCAATTATGCGCATTTATATGTGACAATAATATGTGACAATATTACCAAAAGTTTATTCGCATTGACCGCTGCTTCCATTTTTGTTTGTGCCAGCCATGCTGGATCAATCATTTTTCCAGATGGAAATAGTTTGGGATCCTTCACGGCGTTTTTAATTGCAGATGGCGGAGTCTTGGTGACCGCACTTACATTACTTAAATTATTACCGGATGATGTATTTAATGTACCTAGAAATATTAAAATGTTCTTCTAAATTACAGATATTTTTCACATGTATGTATACGTGTATATAATGTACTCCAAATGTATGTTACATGTTTATTTATATCGTTTATTAATTTGGAATACATTTGTTGAACCAAATTTTCTGCATGTTATATTTACCGTTGCTATTTACTGGCTGTTCTTTATGTATCGGATGGTTTGGGTCTGCCAGATCGAAAAGTGGTTGAATAACCTCCGGTGGAAAAACCGCATTTTTTTGCCAAAGATTTAATACACGTATAACCTTGCTCTTATCCTCCTGCGGGCACTTTAAAAGATTAAGAAAGGTGGTTTGCATATTCTTCGCAAATCGTGGAGCAAACACATCCTTCTCCATCCCAAACTGGTGTCGGGATTGTCGAACAATTGAATCTATTACATACAATCCAGGTACTTTGTACTCCGGCTTGCACTGAAACAGAATAAAACAAATTAACAAAAAAAAATCAAATACACACATTTGTATGTAACAGGTGCGTCCAGCAGCACAAACGCTCGCCAAGCGACTAAGTAGCAATTTAAGCTGCGTTCCATTATTCACTGCTAGTACTGAAAATCTATAGTATACGTAGCGTAAACTATAGATTTTTGGTAGCTGCAGTAAACAACCAAACGCAGCCTTATTGCGATTGGTTGGATCTAAAAATAAGAGCCAATCACTACTCAGTCGCTTGGTGATCGATTGCACTACCGAATGCACCTAATGCTCTAGTCACACTGTGGATTGCCAGTTGCGGTTCCCGATCGTCGGTTCTACTCCAGCCAATCGCAATGCAGCGTGAATGTTGGAAACCTCAACGAATAATCCACAGGGTGGTTTAAGAGGATTACAGGCTTATGGGAAAGCTTTGTGCGAAGAGATACACTTACTTTTTGAATGAATTTTTCCACGCTTTGTACAACATGCTTGTAAAATTTTATTGCTTTGATGGCTCCCCGTGTAAGCGAATTCATTTTGGCTTTCGAGATAGGGGGTTTGACATCGTAGAGAGCAGAGAGCTGTAGAATTAAATCTCAATTAATCATATTTTCTAGAGAATCAATCGTATTTAGTAAGAAACCAACACCTATATGTGAATTATCTTTTACTATCGAGCTTAATTACAACACGGAGCTTAATTGGAAACACACGACAGGAAGCACTTGTATATTTTAACAGAAAGTAAATATCGATGTATCTCGATGCTCGTGTCGCTAATAGCTGCAGCTAACGCGCGTATTCAACGTATAGTACAGTAAGCATACAGGACGTATATATCAAAACATCGCGTGCGTGCACGCTCGTTTCGCCGTCTCGCAATTCAAAAATACATCTAGCTGATGACGCTCGCTCGACAAAATCGCGGTCACTCGTTCGTTCGGCCGAGATCGTGCCGAAGGTGGCCTTCGAAAACAAGCCGCGCGCCGCGTCAGGTGGCGGACGAAGGGGGATCCGCGCGTCCGCTCGTATTCGCGATCGCGATTACGCGCGTGGAGGACACAGCCCTCGTGGCGCCGGGTCGCGTCGCCCTTCGAGAGCGAGGGAACCCTTTCGTCGGGGTTTCGAGAAACGGGGCTCCGGCGAAAGATTCTCAGGGGGACGAAGCGTCTTTTTTTCCTCGTTTTTTTTCTCTCTCTCTCCCGCCGAGAGATCGCGTCCGCGATTTTCGCGCGAGATTCGGGACGGGGCCGAGGGTAGGAGTGAAGCCGGGGGCGAAGCACGGCGACAAGGGAATGTAGGGAGAGTTTGCCCCTACGACGGTGACCTCTAAGACGGTGCGCGTACGAGCGGAGGGGACCCCGGGGTGTTGCTTACCTCCGCGTTGAACGCCTTCACCGCCTCCATCGCGCGGGGCAGGGGACGAGCCTCCTCGCGTCACGGTCGTCGTTGAGTCTCACGCGGGTCCCGGCGCAGCGTAATACCAGCGTAACGTCCGCGTTAAAGCTCGCATTTCTCCTTCATCACGCACTGTGTAGCCGAGCCATGCCATTCAAGATGGCAGGTCCCGTCGTGTTTCCCGATACGCATCGCGAGGCGGCCGACGCGTGACGTCACACCTGTCGTCCGACCGGTCGGTAACGGCAGGCGCGTCGATCAGCGCGCGCGGCCCGACTATCGATTATCGTAGCACCGCCGTAGCAGCGCGGCGCGGCGAAGAGTTTCGTTACGCGCGCGAGAATATATGAAGTGTGACGAAAAAAAAAATATTAATCATAATAATATGATTATAGTAATCCAATGTTGATAATATTCTTTAAATAACCAACACAGTCATATGCGAAATGTGTACTGACAGCAGTGACAGCTTGTATGTATATCGGAATTGGAGCACGATGAAAGATGTGTGTGTGTGGTGCGTGTGTGTGTGTGTGGCAGCCTTTAGGATTTCAGGCAGCCTCTGATTGGCGGTTAATGCGTACTCACCATAAAATACGTCAGATACGATCTCCTTCTCGTTACGTCCGTGGTACGCCGTGATGATTGGCGCGTGAAGCGTGCGTGTCGCGTGAAGCGGAAAGGAGGAGCAAGGAGGAAACACGTTGGTTTGCGTGTATTTGTTACGACGCGGTGCGTATCGTTTGTCGTAGCCGTTCGCGAGTCCTTCCGGTTGCCTCGTCTACGGCTCGACACCGCAAAACACGAGGGCAGGGGATACCTCGCGTGTTTTCACGGTGCACACCCCAACGTCGGTCCATCTATCCCGTCTATCAAGGAACCACGGCCATGGCGTCGTCCGATCAGCCGAACAATGTTGCACCAGACCCAGCGGATAACGTTGCGGAAACAGCGAAGAGTGCCAGAGAGTGAGTTGTCCCTTTAGAAAAATAAACTCCGTAAAAGAAAAAAAAAACGCGTCGCACTTTCCCCTGTACATAGCCCGACCTACGTCTACGTGCTCGCGTCATGTGGACCCAGGTAGAACCAGGAAGCTCGCTCACGAACATCCTCTACGTCCCACTCGCGTCTCAGAGACTTTCTGTAATTAATTACCTTCGAATACGTAAAACATTTGAATGCCCACCTGTTTTTGTCATGCCTTGTCTTTTACATAGTAGGTATTCAATGGAATAAATGTATTGAGTGGATAGCATTAAGATTCATGAGAATGACGAGGTTGAACGAAAGAATCGTTTAATTTGTATATAAATGCATAGGTATATTGTGTTTCGTTTATTTTTTTCGGAGTATATTTATATACACTCTATGTATCAGACTTTCGTAACATTTGTTTACATTAGTAATACAGATTAATGTTATTTTTTTTATATATATATATAATATTTACAGTATGGCAGAATTGAAAAAGAAAGCTGCCAATCAGTATTATTCACAAAAAGAGTACAAGAAAGCGTTGGTCGTTTACAATGAAGTTGTTGGTAAGTATTTTTGCTGTATTATGTAAGTATTTACTGTTTTTGTTTTAGCACGTTGATTGCCATAAGCGTAAGGTACAAATAGGTTATTTTGTTCCCGATTGCTATTTTTATACCAGCATGTTATTTCACTATATGTTACCTAATCATTTAATTTTATCTCAAATTTGCTATAAAATTTTATTTTTTTCTCCATAAAATTGAATCTGGAATATCTGACACCCATCTATACAGATTACTAACTATGAGTTAACTCGTATTCGACAATCAATATGTCAAATGGAGAAAGACTAATTTTTCTAACAATATTGAGCTATTTTTGGAATTATATTTATAAATGACTAACGAATTCAAAATATTTCAGCATTATGTCCCGACATATCGGTCTACTATGGCAATCGAGCGGCGTGTTACATGATGCTTCGACAGTATCGAGATGCAATGGCGGATGCTAAAAAATGTATCGAGTTGGAACCAACGTTTTCTAAAGTACGTTGACGTCTGATCTTCTATCTGTTAATCATATCATAGCGAGTTAGTAAATTTACTTTTTGTCTATATTTTCCAGGCTTATGTAAGATTGATCAAGTGTTACTTGATTTTGGGAGACATTCTAGAAGCTGAAACTGCATTAAAAAAATTACTGGAATTCGATCCCAATAACGAATCAATAGCTGCAGAACAAAAAGACATAGCATATCTAAGAAAGTTCCTTGAGGCTGCTGATGTTGCCTACAATGCTAAGGATTATCGCAAGGTAAAAAGTTTCGTTCCGATAATCTTTTTACATCGATTAATGGTCTGATCAGTTAAATAATGTTTGAATTTTTCGTGTCCCGTAGGTTGTATATTGCATGGATCGTTGTTGCGACATAAGCACATCTGGGATACGTTTTAAGCTGACCAAAGCAGAGTGTCTAGCGCTTTTAGGGAGATACCAAGAAGCCCAAGAAATTGCAAAGTAAATTACCTTGCTAGATCAAGAATATTCATAATACTAGTTCATATCAGTATCATCTATATTTTTTAATCTATATCTATATTTTTTAATTTTGTTTCAGTGATGCTTTACACATCGACAAACAGAACGCGGAAGCATTATACATCCGTGGTATGTGCTTGTATTTTCAAGATGATATCGACAGAGCTTTTTCACATTTCCAACAAGTACTGCGACTTGCGCCAGATCATGCCAAAGCATTAGAAATATACAAAGTAAAAAGATTACATATATACAAGAATATTTTTTCCTAATTTTCATCTTAAATAATTTTGATGAGGTAATTTCATATACTTTTCATATCATAGAGAGCAAAATTATTAAAGAAGAAAAAAGAGGAGGGTAATGCAGCATTTAAAAGAGATCAATATCAAGAGGCTTATGATCTTTATAATGAAGCCTTAACCATTGACCCACACAATATTATGACTAATGCTAAATTACATTTTAATAAAGCAACAGCTGCAGCCAAGGTAATTACATTGTATTTTCTTTCAAAATTGATAAATATTTATCATTGCTCGTTTTAGTTAGGGAAGTTGAATGAATCTGTAGCGGAATGCACGGAAGCTTTAAAGCTCAATGAAAATTATCTAAAAGCTCTTTTGAAAAGAGCGAGTATTTATATGGAACTCGAAGAATTTGAAGAGGCGGTACGTGATCTCGAAAAAGCGTCTAAAATGGATAAGACTAATCGCGGTATGAATCGCTGCTTATCAATTTTAACGTACAATAGCATAGAATATTATTACTGATCGTAACTTGATGTGTTCAATAATTTTCTCAGAAACAAAACGATTACTCGGAAAAGCTAAACAGCTGTTGAGGAAATCCAAGAGGAAAGACTATTATAAGATTTTGGGTATCGATAAAAATGCATCTACCGAAGATATCAAAAAGGCTTATAGGAAACGTGCTCTGGATCATCACCCAGGTAAAAAATAAATATAACTTTGTTGAAAAATAAATATTATAAACGTAATTTTGTATTATACTTTATAGATCGTCATGCTAATGCCAGTGAAGGGGAGAAAAGAGAACAAGAGAAGAAATTTAAGGAAGTCGGAGAAGCTTATGGGATTCTCTCGGATCCTAAGAAACGATCTCGTTACGATCGCGGTCATGATATAGATGACAACGAAGGTGGTTTCCAAGGTTGGTGGAATCTATTTTTTGTTTTGTTTTGTTTAGAGAGGTGGCGGTACTATAGCTGCTATTTGTTTTTTTGCTCTTATCAAATTGTAACTATTAACCGATTAGTGGAAATGGCAGTTCGGTTATTTCAGTCATATTCCGATCATTATCACTACTGCGGCAGATCTTTTAAAAGCATAGATTATCAATGCTCTTTTCTTTCTTTCACCTCTTCTATCTTTTCTCCTCTCCCCTTCACTCTCTTGAACTCTGCTCTCCCCCTTTCTTATCTGCCTTGTACTTTCCGTGTCTTACATCGAATTTCTTGTTAAATTGTACCTTTCCTACGAACATACATCCGCACGTCAACGCTATCCAACCGAAAGTCCTTTATGCATTTTTACTGTTTCATTATATATTTGTATATCTTCTCATCTCTTTTTTCCAGATATGGATCCGAACGCAATGTTCCACTTCTTTTGTCAAGATGGAGGCTTCCAATTTCAGTTCCAAGACGGCTTCCCAGGCAATGCTTTTCAGTTTCAGTTCCCAGGTTAACGACGTTTCCAAAAGCGTATGGTGTAATACGATGTATCTAACTGTGTATATGATAATCAAGTTTGTTTTAGTAAATACTGCATCGAATTTTTCGAAATACATACCTAAGTTTACGATGCAACGTAGTAACATGTTTTGTGTTTCACAATTTTGAGATTGCTAAACGTAGAGATTCGTCTGAGCGATTGATATGCGTATTTATTTATACATGACATAAAATTGTATATATAACATCTACGATCCCCATTACATTACATATTACGGTGCGGTAGACCTTCGATTTAATAAATTAATTAAGCGAAAGAACATTAAGGTTTAACGTCAAAGTACAACAGGCAAAGTTCAGGAGAGGCCTGAGACACACTCGTACCTGACGAAACCTTTGTGAATAGGTAAGAGAAGCAAATATTCGTTAGATTGATAAGTGAAGCGTTCTTATTGAGAGGTTTATTTTATTTTTTAATTGAAATCTCTTTCTAGGCAATTACCTGTTGTCGCGTTATAAATATATAAATTATTGAAAGAGATTTTAATTCTTATTAATTTTTTTTATTAAGTCACCGGAACCGCCTTTAAAATTTCGTAAAAAAATCTAGAGTTTCGTTTGCAGACATGGTAAATTTGATGTGGAATCATTAACAACCTTATTGCTCCACAATCTTATGAGAGATCTATTTTATTTTTTAATTGAAATCTCTTAGGCAACTACCTGTTGTCGCGTTCTAAATATTATATTAATTATTGAAAGAGATTAAGAGTTTTAATTTTTACTCATTTTTCTATTAGTCACTGGAATCGCTTTTAAAATTTCGTTAAAAATCTAGAGTTTATTATATTATTTCGCAGATTGCAGCATAGCAAGTTTGATGTAGGATCATTTTAATGAAACTTATTTGTTCCACAATTTTTGTGCCCATATATGTATACCTGTTAATTCCGTATCTGTTTACAAATTATAGTAAGATGCAACTCTCATTGTAATATAATTGATTAAAACGATATAAAGTCGGCACAATGTAAATTCCGTTTGTCCTGCGATGATACACGCGCTTAATCGTTTCCAAATAATTATAAAGTTTTAAGAATATGTTGTTTCCATAGATCCACAATGTATTCATTCTACAGATCTTTCTACAAATACATATATTATAAGACATCTTATTTCTATTCAGTCGTATAAATTGCCTTTCCTAAGTTATCACAGTAATCGTAAACTTTTTTATTTCCTACATAAAATATAAGAATTCTGTTGAAAATTAGAAATTTACTGTTATACGGCAGTATTATAACGAGAGCTGGAAATATTTTGTCTGCCCAATATGTCAATTTCTGCAAGTATGCATAATTTTAATTTTTATGTAAATATATATTTAATTTTTGTAGCCATCTGTATGTATATATGTGTATGTGTGTGTGTTATCAAACAACCTTTCACGTTTCAACATATCGCGATAAGCCGTGCGAAGAATATATTGCCGCTGTTAGCGTTTTTCACTTTGTCGTCTCCCGTGGGAAATGCAAATGTGGTTCCTCCATTCTCATCTCACAGCCAATTCAAGGAATTCATTCACATATATATATATATATTTTTCACATATATATATATATTTTTTTTTTCTTCTTTTATGATTTACCTTATTGAGTCTCGTCATGTCGTTAGGCTCGATACACATGCGACATTGAAAATAAATAATCAATTCGCGATATAAATTTCAGTGGCAAAAAGTTGGAGTAAGTACGAGAATTTCGGAACCGATATTGATTTTTTGGTTTCAAATATTTACATCGTATATACATATAACATACGAAGAAAAATAAAAATTCTTCTATCTCTAATATAATCAACATAAAATAAACGTCCAAATATACTAATGTTTATAGATTCCATTTTGATGTTTTGGAGTTCTTATTCTTTTAGATCTCTTTTAATGAAAATAAAAGAAAAATAAAGTCATACACATACACTTTTTTTCTTTCGTTATGAAATTATTCCATTTTATAAACGAAGTTAGAATCTGTTAAAGAATCTATTTGGAAAGAAAAAGAAGCTTCCTTGCACAATTTAGTTTTTACACCAGTTCGTATAGTTTATTTTTCAATAATCATTTATGTAAATAATAATTTTATATCATTACGATTATTATTGACATGTTAATATATTAACAAACAGAAAATCAAATTATACTATTGGATATCTATGGGTACCATTGGACGCCCTACGGTGTTCTGCACTCTCGCAGGTAGCTGAAAATGTACCATCGTGACAGCGAAGGACGTGGACGACACTTCTTTCCGAGACCACGTGGTAGCTTCTTGCCAAGCCGAGCAATTTCGACGATCACTTATCTTCCTGTCCGAGAGCGTTCCTTGCTCTCGGGAGTGGACGCGTGGAAAGACAAAGGTTGGGAGAGAGAAGGAGAAAGAAGGATGTGAAGAAGAACCGACCGTTTTGAAGGAGCAGGAGAAAGAGAGAGAGGGAGGAGGGGGAAACAGAGGGAGAGAGAGATGGAAAATCAGAGGAGGGAAGTTTGGAGGTGACTTTCAGGCGTGGAGAGTTGCGCGCGTCAAGGCAATCCACTCGATCACTCTCTGGGGACACTGAGAAACCCTGGTTCGCCGCATACCCATACACATGTATGTGTACTATCAACGTGTCCGCCGTACCTCCGATCCGATGGAATAATGTTGGAAAAACCGTTTAACTCTGTAAAAGCAGACGTTGCTCGCTGAATAACAGAGAGTTGAATCAATGGTAAATCAAATTTTGTAACTTGTTGCCGGATGGCAGAGAGATTATCATAGAAGGTCGTTAAAACAAATCAATTTGAGATAATCATTAGCAGCTGCCTATCTAGAGAAATTGACTACTGTTTTGTATAAAAATATATTTTTCAGTGAAATATAATCATTTTGGTTTTTGTTGAATATCGAAACCTCGTTATTATTAAACTGAAGCCCGACGTGATCACGTACAAAGTATCCAAGAAGCGGACCGCCGAACGTGGCACTGGTTACGTTTTCAGCTGAAATTTTAACTTTGCTTAACATCTTTCCTGTTCTCGGATCCACGTGAACGACCTGTAGATAAAACATTTTCATGGATTTAGAAAATTCCAATAATTTTCATAAATATTTTTTCCTACATATACATTTTCTTTATGTATTTATACTACATATATGTTTGAGCTGCTAAACTTATTCATAGTATGTTCAATGAATCAGGAGAACGTCTCAAATTAATATCCAAAGAAAATATCAACAAATCACATTAATTTGTGTTAATCGTGCGATATTTTCAGTTTACCGAGCTAAAATCTTTCGGTTGAGTCTACCTTGCCGTCATTGATCCTTGTGTCAGATTGAGAAGAGTCGTTCGCGACACACAACACTGTGACGTTCTCCAATTCATCGTCACATCCGCGTCCTACGTGAACGAGAACTGCATCTTTCGCCGCACCTGCTACAAACTGGTCAGTCGTGTCATCCAACGGGGTACAACAACTCCAACAGTCCTGTGATCGTGAGGACTTAGAAATTTGCTATAAACTCAGCGAAACACAGGAAAGCTCGTAGAGTATATGAAATTTTACCTATGCGCACTCTGTTCACATCACCTGTTGCAGGATCTAACCTGCGTATGCACTGATTCGTATATGTCAACGAAATATAACTTTTGGGGTGCGATGGTCGCAGTAAGTGCCTTCGGAAAGGCACGTAAGTATCTGTCACCTTCTCAACTTCCACTCTGTCACTTTTACATGCCTCCCCTGGGCTGCGTTCAGGAATTCATGACATATCATGTTATCCTTGTTATTCACCGAATGGTAAACAAGGATAAAATGATATCTAGATACCTAGGCGAAGTTTCTGAACGCAGCCCTGCAAAACGGATTGCAATACCTGCGTCATGACTGACACCTTCCAGGATATCAATTGAGGTTATCGACTGGCTATCGCGATCAAGAAGAAAGTGCTCGCGCGGACAATTAGGAAACTATTCCGCAGCCAATCGGCACGCCTCAATAATTGGTACGACGTGCGGCGATACTGGGCCCCGCGACGCGCGACTACATTCACGTTGCACACGTCTTTTCGCAATGGCGTCTCTGCCGCACTACGCGCGTCTTGGCGATTCTCGCGGCCTTCGTGAGCGTTCAGCCCGGTCACAATTGCGTGAGCATTGAGAATATTTGTATAGTATCTACGCGTTAAATTCTTCCGATCCGATTTCGAAGACCTTAATCACAAGCGGAATCGGCTTTAGCACGGTTTCACCGTGAAACTTTGCTCGGCATACGCGGACGCGACGCGACGCGACGCGTTCAAAATTCGCCGGGGACGCGAGGCCCGCGAGACGAGTTTTTAGCCTGGTCTACAATTATGTAAACGTTGTTGTAAGTAATTGTAAGTAGTTGTAAACCAATTGCAGTCGAATATTCTTATATTCGATTGTGATCGGTATATTCTTACAACTAAAACTATTTGCAGCTATGCTCACGCGTCGAATATTATTTCTCGAAGGGACGCCATATATTTTGTGACCACGCAGATTCATGAGTCATGACTACGCAGTAGGAAGACCTGAGAGCTGAGACCCTTCGCATGCGTGTACCGGCGTGCTGCCTCGTGGCTGAAATTAACTGCGACTCTTGAAATTAAGAGCTGGCATCTTCTCTGGAGGGATACGGATTGGTGAGTCTGCCCGCCTTCAAAGCTCACGCATTTATTATCATCTGTACGCTGCGTTCGGTTTGACGCTTACAGCGCTTAAAAGCATCATTTGTCCTTGTTTGATAAACAACAAGGATGAAATGATGTTGCGAGCGCCGTAAGCGCGAAAGCGAACGCAGCTATATTATATCTAACATCTAATATATATATAATATCAATTATCATTATTATCTATATCCCTTACATTATATCTTGCACATTTATAGTTAAAATTAAAATCCTAAATTTTTATTGGAATAAACTACTGATCCATTATTGATGAATAGTCGATCGTTAAATTATAAATTCTTTGATTGATCTCAGATTATATGCTTGGTTGATATCTATTTAATAATATTCCATTCTATCTAATACTAGACGTTATTGTTACGGATGTGTGAAGTTGGCACTCAAACGTAAAGGAAGAGTTCTTGATAGTTTTCAGAAATAATTCTGTCCATTATAATAACAAAAACACTTTTTGAAAAATGGGGGTGCCAATTTCACATCCAACATTAGCACCGAATAATTCTGATTAATTTTTTTTATGTTTTTTATCGAGTACTACACGGAGAGAATTTTTTTTTTTAATTTACCCTGCAAATTATGTTAATTATGGGACAATATAGCATTTAGGCAAATTTTACTGTGCATTACAATAAGATTTCGCAGTAAAATTTATTGTAGTGCACAGTAAAACTGAGTCGACAAGGCACACAGGGGATA